TTTCAATTTTACTATAAAACTTATGTAATATCATTGTAGAAGTAGAGTTTTCATTGATCTTGATAACTAAGATACAGTAGTATATACCATCTTAAGTTGCTGTTGCTGTTGCTGGAAGAAAGCACATTCTTTTTGTATATTTGTTCTTAATTCCATGTTATTGACTACTCTTTGTTTAAAATGCAGTATTCTTACGGGTCTACTCTCATTCATGGTAGGTTCATGCCTTTGATTTATATATATGCTTCTCCATTAACAAGGTCTGACCTATCTGCTTGAAACTTCTGTGTGTTATATACTAGTATTACTTAGCTGGTAAGACTATGCGATTCATTTCAATTGATATATTTGGTTTCTAAGTCTTTCTTGTGTCCTGCAGATGGACAAAAGCCCTACTACAGGAAGCGTTTCAACATCTGTTGAGGAAAAACAATGTTTAGCCAAGTCTTCACTTGCCTATAATTGTAAAATGTAAGTGAGTGGCAGTTTATTACTGGTGTCTGTTTTGTTTATTTTCTGTTGTCTTACATAGTCTACTGATGAGTATTGCATGCAAAAACCCATTTTGATATTGCTCTTTAAATCTTGGGCATATTCTTCATGAATGTCCAACGTTAGTTTTTCAATTGACTGAAATTAAGGTTTTGAATTGATATTTTGCTCTTACCAGTCACAAAAGTTGGTGTTCTGTTTTTGGGTTTTTTGTTTGGCATTTCTGTATGAGTCATGTTTTTCTAAGATAACTGAAATTAAATTCATCCATGGTTTTCTCAGATAGACCATAGTCTCATAATGCAAATTGGAACATAAACAAACATTGTTTCCCATATTTTTCTCAGTTGCATCCTATGTCAGAAATTTGAAATTGTCCTGAAATTGAAGGAAGGCAATTTTGTGGAATTAGTCGGTTGATTTTTCTTTGAAAATAATTTGTCAATTAATTTTGTCTATTTTGGGCTTTGAAACTTTGCTTTTTAGTTCTACTTTTAGGAAATTGTTTCCTGAATATGTTGAGAAGTACAACCAGCAGCTTGCTGAGCAAGCTCGAAAAGTGGCATTGTCAGTGCCCGCACAAGAAGAATCTTCACTTCTCAATTCGGAGACACTTAATAATAACATGCAAGATAATGCAGCAAAAGCAGAAGATGGGAACAGAAGAAATAATCGTAAGCAATCTGTGCCGACCTGGATGCTGTTGTTGCTCTTCTCAATATTTGGTTTAGTTATGTCCTTGCCTCTTCTTGAACACTGATGTCTCTCCCTAAATAGGCTCGACCTAAATGGGTAAATCTTCAAACTTAAGATCATATAGATATGTGAGCTGGTCAAATTTTTCACATCCAAAATTTTCCTTTTGTGGTGTTTCACTGTCTTGTAATGTTACTAGTACTACACTAACTTGTACAGTCTATGGGATGCTATCTTCTTTCAATTCAATTTTCTAGTATGAAAATTTTGTTTTAAGTGTTTGTCAAATCATCATAACAAAGTAAATGAGCCTGTGAGCTTTAATTGTTGAGGTTCATGTTTATAAACTTGAGAAAAAAAGGGTTTCTTTGAATAAAGGTGGTTTTGGGGGTGATGTCAATGGAAGAATTCTCTGAAAAGATTTGTGCCTATGCATTATACAAAGAGCGTTGCGTTCAAAATCTATGTCATGGCACCTGTGACAAAACTCATGCTTATCAACAACGAAGGCTTATAGGGTTCTAGTATGAGTGTTTTGCTTGCAAGACGCTCGAAGACTTAGTTAAGCCTTCATGTTAAGCATAAAGGAAAGTATATGGTGGATGATCTTAAGCGTGAGCAACATTGATTCTTTCTATTTTTCCATGAACTGAAACCAACTCGATTCAACTTTATTTGAACCAATTTTGAACCGATCTGAAATTGATTCGGCCTAGACCTAACCTGGACCCGACAAATCTTGACCCAACTTGAAAGTGACTCGAACTGACCTGAGGTTGGTTAACACGGTAATTTTAAACTGAATATATTTGACCCAAACACGGCCAACCCGTTATGGATCAATTCGTTTATACAAATTGACACATCTATTCTATAGGCTTATTAAATGGGGCAAGAAAGTTTATTCATCTCTATGTTTATGACTACAAAAGTACTCTAGTTTAATACTCGTAAATGAAGTAGGAAGACTAGGAACTAGGAACCTTCCTGTATGGTGAATTGGTGACTAACAAACTGGTAGAAGCCCTCTGAAGTGTTGTTCCTTTATTGTTTCCCCCAATTTCATCTATAAGTGGCACTTCTCCCCACCCCTCCAAAAATATATTTGTACATATCTACCTCTGAACGACTGTATTATTGTCTGCATACATTGTATTTGAATACCAAGACAGAGGGTTTCTATATGATAATAAAATAATTTATTAGACTTATAAATACGATTAGTATTTAGTAGTATTCCCCTCTTATTTAAATACAAAATACGTACCTCTTTTGTTTTTTTTTTTGTTTTTAACTGCATTTACTTTTTACATTATTTACAAATTTGTACTACGTATTTTAATTTAGAGCTCCCTTTCAAAAATAAGAGGACTTGGGTGTGGCTCTTTAAACACTATTATATATATAAAAAAAAAAAAAAAAAAAAAAAAAAAAAAAGTGGATGAGTCTCAAATGTGTATATTTATAATTTTAATTTATTTATTTATTTTTTATTTTTATTTTTTTTACTAATACACATAAGTAAATTAATGATAATAGTTGCAAAATATATGCACTGACAATCCGACACGCATAAAAAAGTGCTAGTGTCACTTAAAACAAAAGGGGTATCTGATTAACCGTATCAATCCGAATACTTAAGTAGGCAAACTCTTACAAATTGTGAAAAATGAATTACATAAATCCTCATATCCCACGGAAGTTTTTATGTTTGTGACCAACCTTACTAAAATAATTAATGACACTGTACTAATCGTACAGATTATATACTTAGCTTGTAATTATTTAAAATTTTAAAAAAATACATGTAATAATATAGTTAGAGGCTTGTTCTAGGTACTTATAAAGGCTTTTTTGGTGTAGGAATGAGACAAAATTATTAAATGGAGCAAGAATACTCTAAAGTGCATCCATATCTATGTATATCCAAATATATAATAGAAATATTGGTACAAGTTAGTTTTGTTTATAATTATTTTAAAAGAATCAACATGTTATAGTAGTAGTACAATATACGGTATCTAATCGTCTTGGCTGCGTTGTTCACTTCCCAAATCCCAAGTCCTATCATTTTGATCCATTAATAATATTATACTCCACTAATCAACATTTAAACTTAATTAATTGACCTTCAACTACTATTCTACTACTACAAAGGTACATAAATGTGTGGTACTTGTTGCCCGACTAATTATTTTATGTTCAAGGCGCATGCACGTACTATGTATGCAGTAGTGGTCAACTCTGTCAACGGTTCTTTTTTCAATAGATGCTCTGAAAAACTCTCCAGGTTATTGTTAGTGAAATACAATTATAATCTTCACCGGCTTTAAAAATGTTCCATTAGTCTTACATTTTTATAGAGGTTTGTCGATCAAATAGTTGATTGGATAGCTATAAATAGCGACTTTTGTATAACATATAAAGAGCACTTGTATATTCAAATTTGAATAAGTATTCAATATTGTCTTTCCTGATATATACTATGCCTTATTATTGAGGATAACAAATCATGCAATGAATTCTTACTATAAAATGGCTACCCTCCTACTACATATATTTTTACTAACAAAATGCACCCATGACTAATAATGGATGCACTGTATTTAGGCAATTTAGCTTGTTGGAATTATACTAGCTAGAGTACAAGATTGAGCTACTCATAAACAGAAACGTATAGTCGAATAAGGCTCATTCAGTGATTCACTATTTTGAAACTTAGTTAATTTTGTTATGACAAACTTTTGACATAATTAGCTTACCAGCTTACAAAAACGTATAAGTTTATTCACAACCTCACTCGTAATAAAGGGTGCATTATAGACATGCTAACCTAACCTTGTATCGAGTGGAGACAACGAGTCATAATAACCTACAATTATTGTGATCAACATACATTGGCCTACCTACATAATTCTTTATATGGCTCCTAAATAATGAAGCAAAACGCGTAAAATTTAACAAGAGTGAGTTAAAGTGCATAAATAGTAGGGGTGAGCAAAAATTCAGGGTACCCTGATATGGAACCGGAACCTGTTCAAAATCGCAGGTTTCAAAACCCGGAACCAAACTCGGTTCCGGGTAATAAAATTAGGAACCTGTTGCAACAGGTTCCGGTTCCGGGTAATAAAATTTTGGATCTAGAACCTGTAGGGTACCCTGTTAGTATAGGTTTCCTATAGGGTACATGAAACCGGAACCTATATGGTATTAAAAATTCTAGACAATTAGTGTTGGTTTGTTATATTTGAAGTACTATACTAAAGTTGTAAGCTTTTATTGTGATCATCTATTTTTAAAAAAATAAATTTCTCACAATTTATCAAGTAACTATTAAACTTACTTTGACAGACAGGGTACCCTGTTTAGGAACCGGAACCTGCAGGTTCCGGTTCCAGTTCTCAATTCTTAGAAACCTGTTGCACAGGTTCCGATTCTTATTCCGATTCCTATTTTTAGAAACCTATTGCAACAGGTTCCGGTTCCAGATCCTAATATTTTTACAGAGTACCCTGCTACACCCACCCCTAATAAATAGTAGTAGTACCTTTGTTACTAGTATAGCAAGACAGTGTGAGTTGGAGGTTACATATCTTACATTCTTACTACCTTCCTCACGTGGACACTGATTACTAAACAACCGACCAATTTTATTATTATTATTTTTTTCATTTTTGCAATGTAATTCCCTCATTTTTTGTACTCCGTGTTTACAATTGGCTCCAGCTGTTACTGTAATTATTTATCCTGCCCATCTTCTTAAATGAATTATTTATGTCATAAACTTTACATTTACATTTTATTTATCTATAAATATCCCCTTTTTGTTTGGTTACATTCTACACTTACATCCGAAACAAAAATTCATACTATTATATAGTTTGCTTAAGAAAATCTAACAAAGAAAAAAAAAATGAAGTTTTCAGTTCCAACTTTGGTTATAATTTCTCTTGTTATAACTTGTGCTTTCATTGAGATTGTTGATGCTGTTTCAGCTTCTCCTACTACTTCTCCTACTCAAGCCCCTCCTGGAGGTACTTCTACTAACTAGCTTTATCTTGTTTTGAGTTTTACATCGTGTTCTAGTGTCGTTGTAAGTAGAGCTTATCATCGTTTGGTTGAACTTAAAAAAATCCTCTCATTTCGAGTAAAGGGATAAGGTTTGGAATTAAGTGTTTTAGACGGGCCTATTGCCTATATGGTGATAACACTACAACAAAAATAGCCAAAGATCGGAAGACTATGTATATTTAGTCAACGAAATCACCGGGTCACTTTGACTAATTCTTTTTTTTTTTTTTTTTTTAATTGTAAGTAATCATCATTCGTGTGAGTCTAATCTAGATTATATTAAGTACAAACTAGTCAAAATAGGTCAAGAAAATAATTTCAAAGAGTACACTTTGACTGTTTGATACTAAACTTTAGTATAAGTACACTTCATAAGCCTACGCGGCTTTATGATATTTTTTTAATTGTTTTCTAGTTCGCTTAAATTTAGTTGTCACATAAACTAATCTGGGATAAACGTTTACAGTGCCAGGATTTTGTGTGGATAAATGCGCATACAGATGCTCAAGGAATCCAAGGAACTTATGCAAGAAATTATGTATGCACTGTTGTAAAAAATGCCAATGTGTTCCCAATGGTCCTTTCGCCGACAAAAGCCAGTGCCCTTGCTACAGAGACCTCAAGAACGACGAAGGCCAATCTAAGTGCCCTTAAATTTTAATTTAGACCAACAAATCCTACGTGTCTATGCTTAATTTGAATAATTTCCTTAATCCATCATTATAATCCTAAATCTTGTGTAATGGTTATTAGTATTAGTAAGAAATAATGATAATTATATATATATATATATAGGGCTTCATATATTGATTGTCATCAGCCCATAAATTATTATAGATTTATGTTCATCTTATAGCTATGAGAGTGTGGATGTAATTTGATGTTGATAAAGTTTGGTTATGGCTTTATATGCCTTATTCAGTTATTTATATTAAATGTTGAGTATATTGGTAGGATAAATTTTGTGTAACTTGAAACGTTTGATTGTATACATCAATACATGTATTAGTAGTGTGACAATAATGTGAAAATAATAGTGAACTAAACTTTATAATATCAAACAATCAAAGAACGGACAACCACGAAATTTAATTTGACATGAGATACTCCCAGAGAACATGAAAAACCCACAAGATATATGGTCGATCTAGAGTACAGTGTATGAGTTAAATAAGCACATGATGGACCTAAAATTTTAGCAAAAACTTTTGTGTATATCCACTTTATAATACAGCATAATAATAACAGTGCACATTTTTTTTTTAAAAAAAAAGGTAATTTTTTAGATGGAAGCCCCAATTAATCAATTTGATAAACAAAATTTGTTTATTAAATGGCAAATAAAACTAACATAAATACCCAGTCATTAATCATTATGACATTTGCGTAAATATATCAACAACAGTGGAACCCATATTTAATAAAAAGTTGATTTATTTACAATTTTGTCATTTGATAAACAAATTTATTTATCATATTGATAAACTTGTATTTTCTCTAGCTAATTTAATTTGACATTTCTTTTAACCTTTTGCGAGAAAACTGTAAAATTAGATCTAATATGATATTAACGTAAATAGACTATAGGTAAGTTTAAAAGGGGTAATATAGTTATTCACTAACTATAATTTGATTTTTACTCAAAAGCTACTTTTATCATTTAAAAAATGATATTTTATCGGAAACTTATACTTTGTATTTTTTTATTTTTTTATTTTTTGAGTTAGCTATTAATCATTTGAAGACAACTTTAGAACGATATTATAAATTATTACTCCGCATTTTTTTATATAAAAAAGAAGATTTAGCTACACATTCATAGTTTTTCCTCGATTTGGATAACATCAAAATTTAGTGCAAATCTATTTTTGGTAACAGTCCAAAATGTAACGATTGGCATACAGGCATAATTCTAAGGCTCACCGCTTATGACAGCCGTAATAAGGAAAGAAAATGTTAAGCTTATCTATTTTTATATATTCAAACCACGCCAAAGAAAATACAAGTATATATTAACATTTTAATTCCCACAAATTAATCTCGGGAAAAATGAATAAGTTTTCATTTCCATCTTTACTTCTAATTTCCCTCGTCCTAACTTCTTTGGCCCTTGACATTGTTGATGCTACATCATCCCCTGCCGTAGGTAATTTAATTATTGTCAATCTCTTTCATTAATTAATATAATTCGAAATAAATCGATTGAAATGGGTTGTTAAGTATAAATCTAGGGCATAAAAATATTCGTATGTATATCTAAGTTGTGTTTTGTCCCACGCGACATCTTAAATAATACAAAGTAATAAATAAAATCCATCATGTATGTCCCCTATATTTTAAAAAAATTATCAAAAATATCGAGAATGACTAATTTGATGTGAGAAGGAAGACATGATACATGTATTGCTCATTTGTCTAGGGTATCAAGGAAAAAAAGAAACAAAAAAAAAGCTTAGCCCTTAGCTTTAGGCACATTTGAGTATTCTCAAGTGCATCTAAGAATAAGTAATAATATTTGGTTCGAGTAATAACAATTCATGAATAAAAATTTACGCCTTTGTTCATTGTTGATCATATCGAGTCCAGGGAATTATACAGCCCCGGAATTATGCCCAAGCAAATGTGCGTGGAGATGCTCCAGGAATCCACGAAACTTGTGTAAGAAATTGTGTGTAATGTGTTGCTCAAAGTGCAAGTGTGTACCTTCAGGTCCATTAGCCGATAAAGCCGAGTGCCCTTGTTATAGAGACTGGAAGAACAAGAAAGGCACTGATAAGTGCCCTTAAATTTACAATTTGGCTCACTTGCTTAAGTGTCTCTACTCGTGTGTGTAATTTTATTTTAATGTTAATTTCTTGATGTCATACTTTGATATAGTTTTTGCATAGACAAAACACATATGAATATATGATGAAAGTAAATTTGTGGAGATAATTAAACTATACTTGTATTTTTTTTAGTTGAAGCTGACATTGCAATAATATTTTGATTTTTACACTCGTCATTTGTCAAAATACAACCATTGATGACTAGGCAAGGTTCTTAAATTATTTGCTGACTAGACAAGGACTCTACATTATTTGGCCGAAAATAGTACTATTTTGTGGTTGAGAAATCAAATTACATCACTCAATACTTGAGGTACTAAAACACTACAAATACATTAGTTTAGGAACCATATTTAACCTTAATTCAATTTAATTTGCCACAACATAACACTTGAACTTAATCAATTACTACGTAGATGGATTATTCTGGATAGCCAAAAAAAAAAAAAAAAAAAAAAAAAAAAAAAAAAAAAAAAAAAAAAAACTTTAAAGGAAAGGAAACTTTAATTCACTTATTCACATGTTATATCCCTAAATGTGGGCTGCGTATTGGGCCTACAAGGTTACAAGCGGTACAACGTATAAGCCCAAAATGTTGGTAAGCGTTTAATGTTGGTGCTTAGCTAGGCCATGTGATATGCTTCAAACCTTCAAGGCATCAGATCTACTGCATGCATGCTGCACATCTCTAAGGTTTATTCCTCACTTGGGCGTGTAATTTTCAAGTTGTTCCCAGAGTTGTAGCTTCGTGTAGGCGCCGACATGTAGCTAGTGTTGGTGTTACTATTATCAATAGACGATAAATAAAAATACTCTGTTGAGTTTAGATTATTAAAGTGTTGCGATTATTTTGAAGTTAAAATTAACTCGGATAAAGATAATTCACCTAAAATTCTTGAAAATATTGTAAAGCTCTTGGAAGTTTCATTAGATATCTCTATCTAGCCAGCTCTCAAATGGTAAGATGACAAGTTGTTTACTTACGTTGAAAGCACATGCACCCATTGTCCCATAAAAGATGTATGATAAAATTGCTAATTACAATAACAAAATGACAAATCATACAAACATAGCTTAATTTTATAGTACACCTCTATCATGCATCTATGCATGAGTACATGAAAATATATTGAGTTTTGACTAATTTGGACTAAAGACCACTGACTATTTATTATGGTTCCCGACTTTCATCCTTTAAATAATTATTCATACAGTCATACTTCATAAAGTTGAACAACTTCACGCGTTTTTGTCCCATTTTTATTTTTTTTTTAACAAAAGCCACTTAATATATGTTTTGATTTATTGAACTGAGCTAAAGTGAACTAAACTGAACTAAATTATTTATGAGAGAAGGAAATTAGAAACTAAATTGAATTGAATTGATTGGAGCTGAACTGAACCGAACTGTAATTAAGCTAAAGAGAACAGACCCTTAATAGCAGGAAACACAATTACTTTTTTTCCGTCATATTCCATAGTATTTTCTCGTAACTTGATTTGAATAAAGTGCGTATTATTTCTATGAGTATAGAAAAATAACTATAATTTTGTTTCTTATTATGAAATTAATGATACTTATTACACAAACAAAATTTGACCCTTTCTAAACCACTCCCTCCACTCTAAATTAGTCGCAACATTAACTGGCAATGGCACACAATTTTAGATACTTTGGTTGGCTTTATATCTTATTAGGTTGTAATTGATTGACACATAATTGTAGAGCAGGAATCCAAGTTGGCTTCCATAAAGAAAGAAAGAAAAATAGAAAAAGACTAGAATGTATCACATCAATACAGAGTATATATATGTATGTGCACTATGGCATGGACCTTCAAACTTAGTATAACTTTCATTATTATCATACATTTATAAACATCTAAGTTAAGCTTCTATACATCCTCTCAAAATATATAAAAATGAAGAGCTCAAATGCAGCTATTCTTGTAATCACCCTAATCCTTTGCTCTACCTTGCTCGATATCTCTAATGCAGATCTCTCACCTCAGCCATCTGCTCAATCACCTACTTCCTTAGCCACTGCTCCAGGTAACTTCTCCACCTACTTTACTTTTACTACTTTCGTTAACTTTTAGTTACAATTTTAGGGTATTATTTGGGAGATACCATGTATAAAATATTCCAAAGTTAAACGTAGAAAATACAATTTTTTTTTTTGTTGTTGGTGTTGGTTATAGTACATCAACATGTCAATACTAATATAAGACGAGTTTATTATATATGTGTACCCGGTAACTTTTAATTTTTAGATTTAATCAAGTAAAAGAAATATTAGGAAGTCATCGTCACGAGGAGGGGAGTATAATTGTAAGTAAAATGAAGTTTGTGGACTAAATAGGTTTTGTGACAAACTAACAACTATATTTGTGTAAAAATAAAGAAAAAAAAAATACCGTACCATCACATTGTAAGTTATTGTAAGTCTGTCTCATACAAAATATTGGCATTTGCCGTACTCTATATCTCTCTCTTATGGAATTGTGCATGTAGGATTTTGCAACAACAAATGTGGAGTAAGGTGCGCACTAAAGGGGATAAACTCAAGGTGTATGAAATATTGCTTGATGTGTTGTGGGAAGTGCAGCTGTGTTCCTTCTGGGACTTCTGGTCATTTGGATGAATGCCCTTGTTATAGGGACTGGAAGGCCCCAAATGGCAGGCCCAAATGCCCTTAATTTTCATGTCATTTTCCTTTTATTAAATAAATTAATAATTTTGCCATCTGTTATAGGCATTTTTCTTTGTATTATCCTTTTATATATTCCATCTTGTGTTCCAACTTTTTTCAAGTCGAGTAATCAATCGTTTTTGTTGCTATAAATGAAATTGATATGTACTCCGTAATATGTAATGAATCATTTGAATTGTTGGTCCTACATTATGTTAGAAAATAAATATTTATATATCGTAATAATTGAAGATATGATATTTAAGTACTTTCTCGGTTGGAATTGGAGATTTTTATGAATGCTTTGTATGACAATTGAGTCCATTCAATAGAAACCACTCTTTATGATTTTACTAAATGGCTCTATTGTAATATTTTTATAGAATTTATTTGATCTTATTTGAACTTATCTGGATTTATTAGCCAAAATTTATTTTAGT